CAAAAAAAAAAAAAAAAAAAAAAAAAAAAAAAAAGTTCTTGTCAGGAGGTGGTGGCACTCGCCTTTTATCCCAGCACTTGAGAGGCAGAGGCAGGTTAATCTCTTTAGGTTCCAGGACAGCCTGGTCTACAGATCAAGTTCTAGGACAACCAAGGCTACATAGGAAAACTGTCTCAAAATACAACCACAACAAAAAAGTTCACCAAGAGTATTAAATGCATTCCCAGAGAAGTGGGGTGGTAAATGTCTATGATACCTAACAATTGGGAGAATGAGACATGAGAACTGAACATTCAAAGATAAGCTAGGCAAGATACCTGCTACCAAAACCCTGTCATAAGTAACTCAAAGACTAAATGAAGACTAATACATACAAATTAAGTCAACAGAACCCTGTGACAACCTACAAGAAAACAGAAGGTAGCTCCTCTAGAACCTCTGCACTCCACACTAGGAACTTGGTTCTTCCATAACTTACCTGCAGGCACGGTCAGGGGAATTAAGAATTTCATAGTAGAATACGGAAAAGTTGAGAGCAAGACCTAAACGAATGGGGTGCGTTGGAGGAAGTTCTGTCATCGCAATGTCACTAGCAGCTTTGTAAGCCACGAGGCTGTTCTCTGCGGCCTCCTTCCTGTCATTTCCTGTGGCAAACTCAGCCAGATACCTGTGGTAGTCCCCTTTCCTACAACACAACAGCAAATAAAAACCACAATTAGAAAATACTTCTTGGAGCATGACGTGTAGTACATGACAAAATACAGTTAACAATTAAGACATTTTTTAAAAACAACTTCAGAATCCATCAGCTTGACTCATCTCTTTCCTTAATGATTTCATATTAAAAATTATTGGGAAACTTTCACAGAATATAACTCAAGCAAAATCATGTAACTAGTATAAAAGTGTTTCCAAAGAACAACACACACATTCATTAATCACAATACACATTTGCTGCTGTCACTACAGTGACGAGACACCTAGAGCCCTGAGCACAATGAGCCCCTCCTATTCCTGAGCTATACCCAGCTTTGTAATTTCTCCACAGACAGTTAAGATTATACTGTGAACTTCACAGCTTTAGCTGAAAGAGGAAGGAATCCCAAAAGAAAAAACCCAGGCAAGGTGTGGTGCCATATAATCCTAGCACTTAGAAAGTTGATAGAGTGGAGGTGGGAACAACCAAAAGATAGGTATTTTGTAAAGTGCAACAATATCAATTCTTCATTAGTACTGTATTTGCAACTAATTAAAACTTTAAGTCTTGGGAACTAACCCTCCAATATTCAACTGTTTAAAGTCAAAAGCTGAAAACCTACATTTAAAAAGTTATGGTTCTAAGGCTAACTTTAAATCTCACATTTTTCCCTTCTAGTATAGAACCTACATTTTATAATAGAAAACCTTGGACTCGCCAGTGTTAGCTGCTGGAATGAGGTGTTTGTCCAGTACATCCAGAATGTCACAACAGATTAACTTGAGTTCAGTTTCAACCTAGGAAGGGAAAACATGAGATTAAGTTCAGCAATTTAAAAGTCTTGCTATACTCTACCAAGTTTGATCTGAAGAGCCTAGTCTTAGAATATCTTTTCTTATCTGTCTCCAAATTCTTTCCTCAAACCTTAAGTTGACAGAAAACTATTCAGAGTATAGAAAGTCTCTTCCTTTCTAACCTCCCCCTCTCCCTCCCTCTATCTTTATCTCCACCTAAAGAATCACCAGTGACCTGGGCAGTGGTGGTGCACGCCTTTAGTCCCAGCACTCAGGAGGCAGAG